CCTCCAGCCTCCAGCCTCCAGCCTCCACCCTCCAGCCTCCAGCCTCCAGCCTCCAGCCGCCCCTTCCCCAGTCTCTCGACCCCCTGGGCCAGCGCCCACCATCCCACCATCATGGGTGTGTTCTGGGATTCTCCCCCCTCCCCTGTTGATCCCAGGAGCAGACAAGCCAGCTGGGGCCCCAAGCCTCTCTGGACGCCCTTACACACAACTTCCATTCAGGGCAGCTCCCCCAGAGGTCCCTCCTTGCGGTCCCATGCTGCCCCTTCTCTTGACCTGCAGCAAGGAGGCTCCATCCTCACCCCCGGGATACCTGGCCGCCTCCCCTCGGCCCCGCCCCAGTATGGGCTGGCACATCAGCCCAGGACCTTCTCAGGGGGCCCCCGCTGCACTTCCCCAGTCTTGCTCCCTAACCCCCATCGCCGTCTCTGTCCCGCAGCTGTTCCTCTGCTCTGTGAGAAGGTTCCCTCTCTGCCCTGCCTGGCAGCGCTGGCGCCAGTGTCGGGGATTGGCTGGCTGGCCCCCAGCCGGCTCCGGGGCGTGCGGCCCGTGGGGCCCTTGGGGGGGCGGGCAGGTCCGCAGACACTCACGCGTGCGGGTGAGAAGCACCACGGGCCTGCTGATGTCATTCTTGTTGTTGGCATTGCGCTTGACCGAGAAGACGGAGATGTTGTAAGCCCTGCCGGCCGCCAGGGCCCGGAGCTGGTGCGAGAAGCGGCCCCGGTCCACGAAGTCCGTGCGGCGGTAGGAGCCGTCGGAAGAGGCGTAGGTGACTGCGTAGCCGTCGAGCATCTGCCGGGCGGCTGGGCCTTCGGGTGGGTGCCAGGAGATGGAGACCCCGCTCTCCTCCACTCGCTCCACCTTGAGGGCCGTTGGTGGGAAGAGCTCTTCAGGGTTTCAGTCAAGAACAAGGGAAGGGGGGTGGTCAGCTGTCAGCCGTGGAAGCCCCGGCCCCCAGGCAGGTGTCTGGCCCATTGGGTCTCGGGCCTGGCTACCCCGGGGCGCAGGTGGGCCACTGCTGGTGGGAGCCCGCCTTGGGCTCCTGGAGGGTCTCCCGTGTGCGCGCATGTGTGACTGCGCTGATGCCGCCCGTCGGCCTGTTTGCTCCTCCCGGCTTCCCGGGCAGAGCCTGGGAGAGCAGCCGCCTGGACACTCGGCCCTGGGGCCGTTTGGCCCTTTGGCCCGTCCCACGGGGTGTCTGCAGCCCTGGGGAGGAGGGGAGTTGGCCCCCGACGTCGGCACCCTGGCCGCCTCACCTTTGGCACAGTCCTTGCCCGTGTAGCCCGCTTTACAGGTGCAGCTGTGGGACCCGTTGCTGGCCAGGCAGTAGCCGCGGCCCCCACAGGGGCTGGAGAAGCAGGGGTCGCTCACTGCGAGGGGGGGGGCAGCCGTGAGTGCGTGCACGTCGCCAGGCCCCCTCCAGCTGGGCCTTGGTCCTGACCCAGGGCCGTTCCTGCGCTGATGTAGTTGTGGGGTGGAGGTGGGTGGTATCACGGCCGCACTTTGGGGAGGTGGATACGGGGGGTGCGGGCACTCTCGTAGGGGGAGGGCAGGGCTTGCCGGGGCCCCGTGGAGAGGCCAGGCAGGGAAGGCCTCTGACTCTGAACCAGGCCATGCTGCCCCGGCCCGAGCCAAGGTGCTCTGGCAGGTGGTGACTTGGGGCGACCACTCCCGGGGGGCAGCAGGCAGCTGAGAGCACTGGCCCCTCCCTGGCCTCCCTCTGCACTGGGGTTGGGGTGCAGGTGTGGCCCCAAGCTCACAGGCCAGAGCCTGCAGTGCCCTCCGCCACCCCAGGCCTGTGCAGTGGGGCTCTCTGGCCACAGGCGGTCGCACTGTGGCTCTGGAGCCCAGAAGCCCATCCACGCTATATTAGGTCTGAGTGGTGCCAGCCACGCCCAGCTTAGGGGTTGGGGACACTCGAACAGCGCAGGTCGGGCCACGCCCCACCCCGGGGATAGGCCTGTTTTGGGAGGGGGACACACATCAGCAAGTTGAGAGAAGTACTGCCCAGACAGTCCCAGAGACGGGAAAGTGCTCCAAAGGAGAAAACTGGTGCTGGGGAGACGGGTGATAGGGTGGGGGCCCCTGCAGGTCTGTGGTCAGGGAAGCCCTCGTCCAGGAGGGACATTCCAGCCGGGACCTGGTCCCCAAGGAGCCCCTGCTCAGGCTGATCAGGGAGAGTATCCCGATGTGAGGAACCGTGAGTTCCTGGCCCCCTGGGCGGCCCTGAGCTTGGCCGGTGCAGCGACAGCAGGGCCTCTGGCTGGACATGGAGTTGCGGGGGACGTGAGATCGCCGGGGAGGGTAAGTACAGGAGGCAGGGGCGGGCAGAGGAAAGGACCCCGGAGGAGGGAAGGGCGGCTGGGCCCCACCTGTCTCGCAGTGGTAGCCGAAGAAGCCCTCTGGGCAGACACACAGGTAGGCCCCGCCACCGTTCTCACACCGGCCTCCGTGCTGGCAGGGCCTGGAGTCGCAGGCGTCCACCTCTGGAGAACACCCAGAGAGTCGGCCAGGGCGGCAGGGGGGTGTCTGGGGGAGGGAGGAGAGGACAGCGGGAAGAAGGGAAGGGGAGGCAGGAGGGAGGCCGGGCGGGGGCGCAGGGCTGCGGGGCAAGCCCGTCGGGCAGAAGGGGCTGGCGACGGGCCCCTCTCCTTGGCGGGCACCCGGCCCTCCCCTCCTCCTCCCCCCTGGGGCCCCTCCCCCAGGGGTCCTGTCCAGCAGGGCCACGGGGACTGCCCCCATCCCCCTGCTCTCTGAGCGGCCCAGGGTCTACGTTTGTTGACAAGAGGTTTTCCCGGAGTGTCAGGGGCCTAGCGAGTGTGGTTGAGGACCTGGCGCATGGGGATCCCCCAAGCGCAGCCCCTACCTGTCTCGCAGTGGACTCCAACGAAGCCTGGGGGGCACTGGCAGACAAAGGCCCCCGGGAGGTCCCTGCAGGAGCCTCCGTTTCTGCAGGGCTGCGTCAGGCACTCGTCTGTCTCTGCAGAGACGGGACATGTGACGGCATGACCCCACGCCCCCGGGGTCTCCTGTACACCGAGACTTCAGCCTCGCCGCTGCCCTCCACTCTGCCCACAGAGCCTGCCCCCAGGCCGCTCCGGCCTTCACCGCCCAGGCTTCGCAGGGGGCCCGACTGGACATCCTGGGCCTGCCCCGCCATGCCGGGGCGGTGTCTCTGTCTCGGGGCTCAGAGGACCCCATAGGCGTGCGGGGAGCAGGGCTTGCTCAGCGGTGCACCCGGCAGGCCTCCCCTCCCTCCTCTGGCGCAGAGCACTGGGGTGTGACCTGCCCCCCTGCCCCCAGGCCAGAGGCTGCAGGAGGCTAGCTTTTCTCAGCTGAGCTCTCAGTCCCCCTGGGGAGGCAGAAGCAGAGATATTTATAAACTGCTGTCCTTCTGGACATCAGAGCTGGCAGGGACCTGAGAGAGCAGGCAGTGCCCAACCAGAGACCAGCCCAGGGAGAGGGGCAGCTGGAGCAAGGTGACCACAGCCAGGGGACGCCAGCGCCCCAGGCCCACGGCCGGGGTGCCGGAGCTGCCGGCCCGCAGTGAGGGCCGGGACCTGTCTTACCCAGCTCGCAGCGGGCTCCTTCATGCCCTGGGCTGCAGACACACAGGTACCCAGCGACGCGGTCCTGGCAGGAGCCCCCATGCAGGCACGGCTGGGATCGGCACTCGTCAATTTCTGGGAGAGGAGAGCCCGGGTGCCAGGTGCCAGGAGAGACCCCAAGAATAAAGCAGTGTTGCTGTTGTTAGAGGGGGTGACTCGAAGCCAGATTAAGATGGCCACAGGTCCGCTCTGGTGTGAGGGTCTGGACAGAGGTCTACGGCCTCCCCCAGGTGCTTGGAGAGGGCAGAATCTGGGCAGGGCTGCCTCGGAGCAAGGGACACTGTGGACCTGGGAACTCGGGCCGGGCCGGCGTCTGGGAAGTGCCTGGGGCTGCCCTCAATGGCCCTCGGGGGACAGGCCCAATCTTGCCAATTCATTAGATAACAATCACGTATGGAACCAATACATTTGGGGGTGAGTCCTTCATTTTAAAATACCGCAGCCTTTTTAAACATCTCGAGTTGTGCTCCTGAATTAAAAGTGTTCAATTTAGAAGAGCTTACTTTTAATGCTTAACGTGTAAATAAGTAAATAAATGGTAAGGACATAATGACACCTGGGGGCCGGCACCCAACCTGGGAGCTAGAACGCTGGCCGGCTCATCTGGTCACGTGCAATTCCCAACTCCTTGTGATCCGAATTTCTGTGCTTATCTCTTCTGTGCCTCCTTAAATTAGTTTAAAAATTTTTATGAATACCTTAGACAATGTATGGTTTTGATTTTGCTATTTATGAACTTTATTAATAGGACACTGTGGTATATGCACTCTTTTCTCACTCAACATTAATGTCTCCACATTGTTGTGGGTTGCCATTTTTACTGCTGTATAATATTCCTCAGCGTGATTATACCATACTTTATCCTTTCTTGTTTAGTAGGAATTTGGGTTGGATTTAGACTTCTTGCTATTGCAAAAAAAAAAAAAAAAAAAAAAAAAAAGCTGTGTCTTTCACATCTCCTGGTGTAGATGTGAGTTTTCCCTAGACTTATACCTAGAAGTAGAACTGCTAGGACACAGTTTATATGATGGTCAACTTGACAGGCAAATTACTAAGTTGTCTTCAGAGTGCTTCTACCAATCTACACTTCCTCCAGCAGTTCATAAGAAGTCTTGTTGCTCTACATCCTCACCAATATTTGGGCTTTTTAGACTTCTGAGGTTTTGCCAACTGAACGTATCTCAGTGTACTTTTTTTTTGCGGTACGCGGGCCTCTCACTGTTGCGGCCTCTCCCGTCGCAGAGCACAGGCTCTGGACGCGCAGGCTCAGTGGCCATGGCTTACGGGCCTAGCCGCTCCGCGGCATGTGGGATCCTCCTGGACCGGGGCACGAACCCGTGTCCCCTGCATCGGCAGGCGGACTCTCAACCACTGTGCCACCAGGAAAGCGCCTCTCAGTGTACTTTTGATTTGCATTTTGCTGATCACTAATGAAGAGAATGTTTCTTTTCATTGGCTTTATGTACCTCCTCTTCCACGAAATGCCTACTTATGTGTTTTACCTATTTTCCTATTGGGTTGATTATATATATATATGTTATATATATAATATATAAATATATATATATAATATATATAATCTTCTCCCAGTTTGTAGCTTATATTTGATTTTCTTAAGGTCAATGAATTTAAATTCCTAAATTTTAGCTAGTCTAGTTGTCCATTTTTTCCTTTTATAGTTAGTGCTTTCTGTGGCTTAAGGAATCTTTCCCTACCCCAAGGCCAAAAAGATATTTACCTACATTTTCTATACAAAATCATATACTTAAAAAAAACCCATTTAAGTCCTTAATCCATCTGGAATTAATTGTTGTGTATGGTGAGAAGTGGGGAAACAGTGTAATATTTTCCCGAGTACATAACCATTTTATTCCAGTTGTCATGAAGATTTTCTCATATGCTTTCTTTCAGAAGTTTATAGTTTTATCTTTTACATTTATGTCTATAATTCATTTCACACATATAAAAATTATCATTTTTGATGCTATTGTACATAATATTGTTTCACTTCATTTTCCAAGTCTTCACAGCTAGAATATGAAAATATAATTGGTTCTGTGTATTGACCCTGTATCCTGTGATCTAGCTGAATTCACTTATTAGTTCTATAGCTTCTTTTGCAGGATCTCTTAGAATTTTCTATGTGCACGATTGTGTCATCTTTACTCCTTCCTGCCCAGTAGACATGCTTTTTCCCCTTTTCTTGTCTATGGCACTGTCTAGGACCTCCAAGACAACGTTGGAAGGAACTGGTGAAAGGGGCACCTTTGCCTTATTACTGACTATAGCAGGAAGTCTTTCACCATTAAGTATTTTGTTCGCTGTTGACTTTTTCATGGATGCCCTTTATCAAGTTGAAGAACTTTTTTTCTACTCAGTTTATTAAGAGTTTTCAAAATAATAGTTGAATTTTGTCAAATGATTTTTCTGCATCTATTGAGATGATCATATGGTTTCCTCCTTTATCTCCTAATATGGTGAATTACATTTATTGATTTTCAAATGTTAAACCAACCTGTGCTCTTGAGATGGATCCCTCTTGGTCAGGTTGTATTATCCTTTGGATGTAGTACTGGGTTTGATTTTAGTAATATTTTATTAGGATTTTTGTGCTTTGCTCATGAGGAATATTAGTCTGTAATTTCATTTGTGTAATGTCTCTGGTTTTGGTATAAAGGCAATACTGGTCTCATAAAATGAGTTGAGAAGTGTTCCTTCCTCCTACATTTTCTGAAAGAGCTCCGTATATAGTATTATTCCTTTCTTAAATGTTTGCTAGAACTCGGTGAGGCAGTCTGGTCTTGCCATTTTCTTTGCAGGAGAGTTTTAAATTACAACTTAAATTTATTTCATAGCTATGGGGCTATTCACATTTTCTATTTATTCTTGTGTCAGTTGTGGTTATTTGTGTCTTTCAAGGTAGTATTCATCATTTTCTCTAAGTTGTGAGATATATTGGCTTAAAGTTGCTCACAATATCTCCCTGTCCTTTAAATGCTGGTACGATCTTTACTGATGTCTCCTCTTTCATTCTGATATTGCTAATTTTTCTTTTCTTTGTTTTCCTTGATGAGTCTAGCTAGAGGTTTAATTATTTTTATTGACCTTTACAAGGAATCAGCTTTTGGTTTCATTGGTTTTCTCTGCACATGTCTTTTTATAATTATATTTTATAATTGTTTGTTACTGATAAATAAAAATGCAATGAATTTTGTTATAATACCTATATCTACTAAACACGTTACATTTCCTACCACTTTTAGAAGTTTTCCTGTAAAGACAACAATATCAGCTGCAAGTACTGACATTTTTACTTCTGCTCCTTTAGCATTTTCATGACTTTAATTTCTTTTTCTTACTTTATTGCATGGCCTAGTACTCCCAGTGTAATACTGATTAGACTTGGTGATAATGGGCATCCTTGTCTTGTTCTGAATTTTAAGGGGAACGTTTGTCTACTTAGGATACTGTGTATTCTGGGTTTGAGGAGAGGTATAGTAAAACTGCCTCGGAAGCTAACTTCCTTCCTCCTGTTGGCAGCTCAGCATGTCTGCGTCAGTTCAACAGAAGCACATCTTTTGAATTCCAGATCCTCCCCTGTATAACAAGGGTCAGGAACACATCGTTCCACAGCTCTCTTGATGTAGTCTGTACCCCTTCTTCTATAAATATGTGGAGTGTAACTGTTGTGCTTCAGGTGGCGTGTCCAGCCTACCTGTGCCTGGCCTAAGCACACCTCTCTGTGGGGTAATGAACACGTGGGGGCTATGGGGGCTCTGCTATTTCTCTCTTCTAAGTTTTCCTTCCAATAAGATTCTATATTATTTTACACCACATGGTACTAGAAGGGTGTGTGTATCATGTTATTTTTATCTGGATGAGGGAGTACTTTTTTATTCCTTGTTTGGTAAGAATTTGTTTCATGAATAGGCATGTATTCTATCAAATGATTATTATGCATTCTTTGAGATTCTTACATGATTTTTCTCCTTCAGTTGGTTTACTGTAGATTTTTCTAATATCAAACTATTTTCGCAATAACCCGACTTGATAATGCTGTATATAGTCTTTATAGACGGTCAAATTCCTGCATCTGTTTAATGGACCCCTAATTTTACTTTCTCCAACTGTCCATATCTAGTGTTGGTTTAAGGTTGTCCTGGCCTCACAGAGTGGGTTGGCACATACTCTTTTCTACTCCCTGGAAGAGCCTGTATCACGCTGCAACAATCTGTTTCTCGGCAGTTTGGTGGAATTTACCCATAGCATTGTTTGGGCCTGGTGTTCCCTTGTGAGAAAACTTCTTCGCATCCTCAGCTCCCCGATAGGTTAAAAGGTATGATCTTATGGGTTCTCCGGTGTTTCCTTGATGTTACAGTGAGACTGATGGTATTTTCTAACTGTCTACATCCTAACTGAATGGATCACCTCAGTATGTTAAAAATACCGTTTTATCATCTCACTGCTGATGTCCGCTGTTGAGAAGCCCGGCGCCGATCGGATTCTTGTTCCTTTTTTCTCTCTGGATGTTTTAAAGATTCTTTTTTTCTCTGATTTTCTTAACTTTTATTATAATGTGTCTAACGTCTCCCTTTTCTCCTGTTTGATGTCCCGCAGGCCCTTTCAGCCTCTGGTCATTCACCAGTAATTCTGGGAATTACTCCACAGCTGCTCCAACGTTTCCTCCTCATTCTTGGATTCCTGTCACTTCAACGTCAGCACTCCTACCCTCCTCAGCGCCTGCGTTTTCTTTTGATTTATGAGTGTTGCCCTGCTTCTCTCTCGTACAGCCCCGCACGCCGATCTGTCCACTCATTAACTTAAGTCTTCGTCTGTATCCATTTGTAAGTTGTGTGTTACTTCAACTATTATAGTTTTTAAATCTTCTTATTTCTGCTTTCTTTTAAAAGATTATATATTGATCCATTTTTTTTATGGCCAGTACCATGTTTCCTTTTGTATGTTTGTCATGCTTATTTTATATTCTTACTTATCTTCTATACTTCTACCCCCAATAGTATATGTTGTCTGGACTTTACTGTTGTTTCGGAGGTGGCCGTACTTGTTGGGTGTCTTGATATCTTGGCTTATCAGTGCACGTTCCCTGGTGGTACCCACTCCTCATCTGATGGCGTGTTGAGGAGAAGTGGCACTGGGCCAGGGGTGGCCTCCTAGACAGTAACCACCAGCCCTGGGGGGCTTGGAAGGACAGGAGTGAAGGAAGATGCTTGAGGCCAGGTGGTCTCCACCTGTTTTCTGGAACTCTTCACCTGATAGGGCCGCCCAGGTCCGACTGGGCCTTGCAGGGCATTTGGGAGATAGAAATGTGTTATGTGCCCCTCCCATCTCTGGGTGCTGTCACTGTCCCTAAGCTACTTTGTTTGAAAACCTTTCTTTCATGAAAAATGTGTTACCATCGCACAGATTTTCTGATGAACAGAGTCTGGGATGCTTTGAATTAATGCCACATGCCTGCGGTGGTGTCCACGGCGCCCCTGTCTCCAGGGACGTGGGTCGGGGGGCCTCGCCTGCAGGCCGTGCACCTGGCGCACTGTAGGGCCCTGGAGGCAACGCTGTCTAGAGCAACAGCCCTCAAAGCGCTATGCGGGCTCGTGGGCACCTTGTTCAAACGCAGGGTCTGATTCCACAGGTCTGGGTGGGGCTGGGAGCGGGAGGTGAGTCCTGAACCCTGATCTGCCTCTTCAGGGCTCTGCCTTTGGGCCACCTCTTGGCCTCAGCTGCTTCCTCTGCAGAGTGGGCGTGTGGGTGCTGGACCCCATGCTCTGGGATGCTCTGAGGACAGGGAAGCCCTTAGACAAGGGTACAGAGTGGAGCTGGCACTGGTCATCACCACCATCACCACAGGGTTTTGGCCTCACTTTGCACAGAGGATACCAAAGGGAGGAGGCGCAGGCCAGGGTCAGAACTGCAGCCCCTGTGCTCTTCCACTCGGCCCGGGGGGGGGGTAGGGCTTGGCGCTGTGCACCCACCCACCCACCCCAGAGGGCCCCCAGGTCACCGTGGCACTGGGGAGGCTCACTCCAGACGCCCTGCGGCTGGCAGACGCGGATGTGGTTGGAGGTGCTCGGGCTGTAGCCTCGGTCACACGAGTAGAGGGCCACCGAGCCCAGCCGGGTGCCGTTGAAGCGCAGGGTGGCATGTGTCACCTCCTCGGGCGGGCCGCAGTCCACCTCTGCAAGGACACAGCAGCCCTGTCCTGCCCCGTGGGGTGCCTGCCGGCCCTTCCTGCTGCTCTGCCCTTGGCTCCGCCGGGCTGCACGGCCCGGGGCCCTCGCTCCCCACACAGCCCATCCCGGGGCGAAAGCGCTGTGCCTTCCAGAATGGGCTTCTCAGAGGTCTCCTTTCCTTCTTTCCCATCCCTCCCCTCGGCCCCCTGCTGGGCCCTGCTCTGCCCTTCAAGGAGCGGAGGACCCCCGGCCCTCTCACCTGCCTGGCACCGGCGTCCGGTGTACCCTGCTTGACAGTGGCAGGAGAAGTCTGTCCCCAGGGCCTCGCAGGTACCCCCATTCATGCACGGGCTCCGGAAGCAGGGAGAGGGGGCTGCAAGGGTGCACAGAGGATACCAAAGGGAGGAGGCGCAGGCCAGGCTCAGAACTGCAGCCCCTGTGCTCTTCCACTCGGCCCGGTGGGGGGGGCCACCACCGAGTCCTCCCCAAAGGCCTCGGGGCTGCAGGAGAGCGTCCCGTCTCTCGCCCCAGCTCCGCCTCCCACGCCTCCGTGGTCGGGCCATCCCTGCCCACCGGGCCTGTCTTCTTGTCTGCACCCTGGCCCGCTGGCCTCCGCCCCCCTTACCTATCTCGCAGTGCCTTCCCGAGAAGCCTGGGGGACAGTCACACTTGTATTTGCCGATGTAGTGGAAACAGGTGCCGCCGTTGTGACAGGGGCCAGAGGCGCATGAGTCTGGCTTCCCTGGAAGCAGGAGGCACCCATCGGGCGGGGTCGGAGGTCACGCGTCCACCACCCCTGCCCCTTCCCTGATCCCTCGACATCCCAGAGCTGGGGCCTTGGCGGGGATGCTCCTGACAAGCAGACGCACGGTGGCAGGGTCGGGGGTCCTGGGTCGGGGCCTGGCTCCTCCCCACTCTCTACAAGCTGATCCCCACTGGCTGGGGCCGCACCGATCTCGCAGTGCCTTCCGGTGAAGCGGTAGGGGCAGTCGCAGCGGTACTCGCCGCCCGCTTCCTTGCATGTGCCGCCGTTCCTGCAGGGCCCCGAGCTGCACAGGCGCGGCCGGGCTGGAGGAGGGACAGACAGAGACAGAGAGGCGGGTAAAGCAGGGCCAGCTTCCCGGCCCCGCAGTGCCCATGACGCCCCGCGCGAGCCTTCTTCGTCCTCAGGCACCGCTGGGCCCCATGCGCCCAGGCCTGCCTCTCGGCGGAGCCCGAGGCCCAGCTGCAGCCGGGGCCGAGCCAGCCACGTGCAGCCCCTCAGCCTCGGGGGCCCTCTGCCCGCCCGCCTGCCCTCTCTTCCCTGCCTCAGGCTCCGCTGGAGAGCCAGGAGAGCCGGCCCCGCAGCACGGCCAGTGCTGCGCCCGCCTTCCTGCCCGGTGGGGAGCTGGCATCCACAGACCGGGCTGGGAGCCCTGCTGTGGCTCCGTTCTGATTTTCCTGTTTTCTGTACCTTTACTGGGGGCACCTCCTTGGACTTGCGGGGCCCCGGCCGCCCGCCCGGGCTGGAGGAGCCGCACCTTCACAGCCCAGCCAGGAGTTTAGGCGCTTGGCCTCCTCGACGCTCGGAGGGGGGGACGTGAGGCAGCAGGGGGCCTGCCCCCAAGGCTCAGGGGGCCGCTTCTCCCCCCGCACCCTGTGGGGCCTCCCAGGCTGCCAGTCCAAGTTCCGGCCACCCCACCCCCTGTCCCTCCGTGTCCGCTCTCCGGGATGCCTTTGCCGAGGGTGACGGACCTCAGTGGTACTTGCAGAGGACGAGGCCTACTCTCCGGAAAGCCCTCCTCCTGCTACAGGGGTGGGGAGGCCGCAGGGGCTCCGTGGTCAGAGTGCTGGGGAGCTGCCCTCAGGGCCACTGTGGGAGCGGCAGAGGCTTGCAGGTAAAGGTCCAGGCTTCAGCTCTCTGGACGAGTGAGGGCAGTGGGAAGGCTGCAGGACTGGATGTGGGCCGGGTGCCGAGCCCAGGAGAATAGGCCGGGCAACACGGGGTCAGGGGGCCGGCACCCTGGGCTCTGACCAAGGGGACGCCTGGGTCACTGAAAAGAGTTCCGAGCGTTGCTTCGAACTGCGTGGAAGAGACGGCCCTGGGTGGGTGCTGACGAGGACAGTGGCGCCTGCTGTGTGTTTACAGAAGAGTACTCACGCTCTTAACTGGCTAAATGTTGTAAAATGTTGACACTCTCCAACTGCACTCAATTTAACAAAGTCCTAACGAATTTTTAAAAAATCAGTGATTCTAAAATCCACTTGGAAAAACACTGAGCAGGAAAGGAAGCGCGTCGTGAGGAAAGCGCTGTGATGAGCGAGAGGCGCAGGGGCAGCCGGGGTGGCGGGCCCCCCCAGCCCCCCGCCCCCTCGAGTGCCGCCGCGCCCCACCTTTCTCACAGTGCCGGCCGTGGAAGCCCCGCGGGCACTCGCACGTGTAGGAGTCATCGTGGGCATCACAGGAGCCTCCGTTGAAGCAGGGGTCTGAGTCGCAGGGGGACGGCAGCGCTGCGGGGACAGAGGGCGATCACCCTGAGGTCCTGGCTGGAACCGAGGCCAAGGTCTTGATTCTTCACGCTGGGCTCTAAGGTCCGCCCTGGAATTCCTTGTATTTCTGATTCTTCCAGAGTTCATCCTCACTCTTACGTGAGCTGGGACTGAGCTGTGGTCCACGAGGGTCTTGGTATCGTCACCACCAGCACCACCATCACGTGTAGTCACTCCCTACCTAAGTCACTGGTCATCCGCGCACTAACAGACACGTGGGGTGAACCTGTTTCTCCGCAGGTGCTCGTCAGGTGCACGTTAACGTTCTAGCACCTAAGCCCCGGGCTCAGGCAGGTGCGGCGTGGCACGTGCGCACGGCCAGGCCGTCCACCCCCAGGTCCCCTCGAGGGCCCCCTCCTGCTGCGCCCACTGCCCTCTCACCCACCCCCCACCCCGGCTTCTGGGCCGGACCCCGGCCTCGCAGGCTGGTGCCCGCACCACCCCCGCCCCCCCACTCACAGTGGCTGACGTTGTGGTTGGTGTGGCAGACGCACAGGTAGCTCCCGCCGTACTCCATGCAGTGGCCACCGTCGGGGCACTGCGTGTTCACGTTGCAGGGCATGGCCGTGACCTCTGCAGGGAAGGGGAGAGCCCGTCTCACGTCCCCGCGTGTCTCCCTGGAGATCGTGTGTCCTTGAGAAGGACCGAGCTGCCCGGGTGACCAGGTTCGGGCACCCTTGTGGCCTCCCCACCCCACCCCCCGGGGCCTACCATGCGGGTCCGGGCCCAGGCCCAAGCCACCACTTACACGGTGGTTGTGGGGATTCTCAGGGTCCAGGCAGGAAGGGCGCCCCCATCCCAGCCCTGGGCACCTACCAAATTCGCAGAGGAGCCCAAAGAAGCCCGGAGGGCACTGGCAGAGGGTGGTGTTAGCCCCCAGGCACCTGCCACCATTACGGCACTCACAGTTGTTGGGGGTTCCTGCCACGGAGGGAGGGAGGGAGGAGCCTCCAATGTCGGGGTGCCCTGTCCTGACCACCGTCCCGTAAACCCCGCCGTGTAGCCCGTCTCCCCGCTCCCCACAGCCTCCCTCATGGGGGTTTGCGTGCACACCCCACGGGGCCCCGGCAGCCCGGCCCACACGCACTCTCCCTGCAGTCAAGGCCCATGAAGCCTTCGGGGCATTCACACACGTAGCCCTGCTCCGCATCCACACAGGTGCCCCCGTTCTGGCAGGGGGCCGAGAGGCAGGCGTCGGGCACCGGGTGGCTTCCTGCAAGAAAGACGGAGGTCACCCGAGGCCGCGCAGAGAGCACGGCGAGGATGGGGCCTCGGGCCGGAGAGGAGGTGTCTTAACCTCTGTCCTTAGTGCCGAGCGCCCGGAAACTGACCTCTAGCGGCCCCTCAGTCCCCGAGCCCTTTCTCTGGAGCAGAATGAGAAGCCAGAGTGAGGAGGGAGCCCCACGGTGTGCACCAAAGGGCCCAGCTGAGGCCAGAGCCTCCAAACATTTCCCATCCAGCATCTCTGTTCGTTAAAGATTTGGGATTTTTAACTTTATCTTTCTGCTGCCGATTTCTAGTTTAATTTTGCTGTGGTCAGCGAACACAGTCCTTTTCAATTTATTGAGCCTTATTTTATGGCCGACAGGATGGTCTGTCATAGTGAAGGCTCCGTGAGCCCTGGAAGGAACGTGCGTGTCCGTGACTGTCAGTCGGGCCGGGTCGGCTGGCAGCGCTGCCCAGTCCCTGCGTCCTTGCTGGTCCCCATGCTTGTATGCTCTGCGCCACCGAGATAGGAGTTCCGCCGAAACCCCCGCCTATGACTGGGGATCTGTCTCCCCTTGTAGCTCTGCCAGCTGTTGCTTTGGGTATTTCGATTTGCGTTACTAGGTGTTGCATAGTTAGAGTTATTGTGTCTTCCTGATGAACTGGCCCGTGGTCATTATAAAAGGTCCCCATTTCTGGCTGCTCTCCTACTCGAAAGTTTAATCTGAATGATATGAATACAGCCACTCCAGCTTCTCCTGATTCGTGTTTGCCTTTTTAGTCTTTTTGTTTCTAAATGTTCAATTTCCTCATGTTTTTTTCAGAATTTATCTTTGAAATTAATATACAGTAAAATGACTTGTGTTTGAGGGACACGCCTAAGAATTTTATCACATGTATAGCTGTGTGTATATGGATACAGGACAGGATACGGGACATTCCGTCATCCCAAAGACCTCTTTGTTTTCTCTCTGCAGGGTCACAGACCCCCTCCATCCTGAACCCCTAGAGCTACTGATCTGTTCATCACTGCAGTTTTGTCCTTTCAAGGATGCCAGAGAAGTGGAACCACACAGCCTGTACTCTTTTGAGACTGGCTTCTTTCACTCAGCGCCACGCCTCCAGGACCGTCTCAGGTGTTATAAGCATCAGTAATTAGTCCGTTTTATGACCGAGTTGTGTCCCACGTCGACAGGTACCGCAGTTCATGTGTCCGTTCACCCTGGGAAGGATGTTTGGGTTCCCGGTTTCTGGTGGCTATAGACATGCTACAGACATTCCTGTACAGAGTTCTGTGTGACGTAAGTTTTCATTTGTTTAGGGTTAATACCTAGGAGTGCGATTGCTGGGTCATATTATAAGTGTATGTTTAACTTTATAAAAAGAGCTATCAAACTATTTCAGAGTGGCCAAACTGTTCGGCATTCCCACCAAAAATAGGTGAGAGTTCCCGTTGTTCTGTACCCTCACCAGGTCAGTGTCTTTTATTTTAGCAATTATCATAGGCTTGCAGTGGCATCTCATTGTGGCTTTAATTTGCGTTTCACCAATAGTTAATGACAACAACAGATTTGTTCATCTGTTTATTTGCCTTCTGTGTATCCTTTTTGGTTAAGTGTCCGAGTCTTTTTTTTTTTACTTATTTATTTATTTAGGCTGCCCCGGGTCTTAGTTGAGGCATGCAGGATCTTTAGTTGTGGCATGTGGACTTCTTAGCTGCGGCATGCATGTGGGATCTAGTTCCCTGACCAGGGATCGAACCCGGGCCCCCTGCATTGGGAGCGCTGAGTCCTAACCACTGCACCACCTGGGAAGTCCCTCTCCCAGTCTTTAGCTTGTCTTTTCATTCTCTTAACCATGTCTTTCACAGAGGAAAAGTTTTCAGTTTTGATGAAGTCCAATTTATCTATTTTTTTTTTTATAGAGCATGCTTTTGTGGTCTTGTCTTAGCACTCTTTGCTTAACCGTGAGTCACAAAGATTTTTCTATCTAAAAATCTTTAGTTTTCTTCTAAAAACGTTATAGTTTTCTGTTTTCTGTTCAGGTCTATGATTCATTTTGAGTTAATCTTTGTATAAGAGGTGTTTAGGTTGAAGCAGCGCTGCCCAGTCCCTGCGTCCTTGCTGGTCCCCATGCTTGTATGCATCCTTTTTCTGCTGAATCTCTCTTATACCTTTTCAAAAAATAATACCCATATTTGTGTGGGTCTGTTTCTGGATCCTCTTTCCTGTTCTGTTGATTGGTGTGTCAGTCCCTTTGCCAATACCACATAATCTTGATCACTGTAGCTTTATAATAAGTCTTAATACCGGGTAGTGTGATTCCTTAAAATGCATTCTTCTTTTTTGAAATTGTTTTGGCTACCTTAATTCCTTTGCCTTTCCATATAAATTACAGAATCAGCTTGTGTGCAGCTACCAAAAACCCTGCTGAGATTTTGATTGGAATCATGTTAAATCTACAGGTCAGTCTGGGGAGAGCCGACATATTTGCTATGTTAAGTCTTCTAATCCATGAACATAGTGTCTCTCTATGTACCGAGAGCTTCTTTGATTTCTTTCATCACCATTTTGTAGTTTTCAGTATTTAAATACTGAAAATGCTTTATTACATTTATACCTAAGTCTTTCAATAAATGGTATCATTTTTAAGTTTTTTATCCATCATTTTATGGTTTAAAAATTAACTGTAAATGTAATACATATGAACGATTGCAAAAAAAATTATAAAAAATGTCAAGGAAAATAGAATCAATACTCCCCGGGGAGAATGGGGGCACTCATTCTGCCACAGCCTTTCCAATTCCCGATTCCATCAACTATCAAAATTCTTACCAATCTAATGGGCAAAACCTGAAATTAGATTTTTATTTAATTTGTAGTTTCTTGATTATTGAGACTGAGCTTCTTTTCACTTGTTTATGGTGTTTGTTTCTCTCTGTGTGACTTTCCTGCTTACATTCTTTGCCATTGTTTCCGCTGAGTTGTTTGTCTTTTGCTTATCAGATTACACACGCCCAACTTGAGGGAGCCCAGGAGCTCAGAAAGAACAAGATGGGGCTGCCGCCCCAGACCCCCTCCACGCCCTCCGCAGCACATCTCGTCCTCTGGCATGAAATCTGGGCTTAGTGGCCCCATTCTGCTACTTACTTCCTGTGACCGCACGCCTGTGTGGGGTCACGTGGCTGGAGGACAGAGAAAGGGAAAACCAGCAGGAGTTTGCCCACACTTGTGAAGCCCAGAATTCCCCCGGCGGGAGCGGAAGGCTCCGCCCACTGCTGCCTCTGTGGGTCCTGCTTCTCTGTCAGCGCTGATGCCGACTTCTGGTTTCGGGGTTGCTCTGAGACCAGGAGGCGGGGTCGGGGGGACACCAGAGGAAAATGATGAGGACTCGCCCCTGTGCTTCTCCCCACCCCGCCCGCTGCTACGTCAGGGTCCTCAGAGCCGCTCCCAGCACTCAGTCCAGGACTGGTCGCTGCACGCAGTGTGAGACCCATCCCACTACTTTAAAATGATCTGTGTCTTCCTATTGGCAGCAGGTTTCTTGTAGAAAGTATATGGTTGGGTCTTGCTTTTCAATTCGATTTGACAATCTCTGTCTTTTGTGTTTTTAACCATTTTTACATTTAAATGTAATTGCCAATATGACTGGATTAAGCCCATCACCTTGCTATTGTTTCTTATTTGTCCCACTTCTTCTTTGTTCCTTTTTCCTGGGTGAACAAAACATTTGTTTATGTGAAATCGTAAGGTGAGAAAGCATATGTAAAATTTCATAAATGCCACTAAAAAGTTATTTAAACTTTAACTACTGGGCTTCATTTATTCTTAAAGATATAAAGTTGTGTTTTCATTTTGAGTTAGAAAAATATATTCCTTTTTCTTCTCAATGACTGTAGATTTTTCAAATTTTCCTGCACACTTTTATTTTTATTTATTAACTAGAGGTAGCTAGTAATATAACTCATTTGCTCAGTTAACATTACATATTTATTTAAGGATTAAATCCTCTGAATCCTGAATTCCTTTCCACTGCTAAAATCTGGTATTTTGTAATTGTACCTTTGAATATTCAGTGGTAGTTACAGCCAGCTTTCTTTATCTTCATTTTTCTTCTTTTCATACCTTCTGTATTGAGTATTTTTAGGATTCCATTTCATCTCCATGATCGGTTTATTGGCTATAACTCATTATTATTATTTTTTTACTTGCTGCTCTAGGGTTTACAAGGTATACCTTTAACTTATCACAGTCGACCTTCAAACAGTATTATACCACTTCGTATATAATGTCAGGACCTTACGATATTATACTTCCATTTCTCCCTTTCTATCCCTTATGCCAGAAGTTGATAAGCAAAGGCTCAAAGACCAAATCTTGCCTGCCACCCATTTAAAAAAATAAAGTATCATTGGAACATGGCCATCCATGTCCATTCACTTATGCACAGTCTGTGGCTCACTGCTTTTGCCTTACGTTGGTAGAGCTGAATAGCTGTGACCACATGGCTCACAAAGCCAAAAAAAATACTACTATCTGGCCCTTTAAAAAAATATTACTATCTGGCCCTTTAAAAAAATATTACTATCTGGCCCTTTAAAAAATACTACTATCTATCTGGCCCTTTAAAAAAATACTACTATCTGGCCCTTTAAAAGCTTGCACAGGCTGCTTTAAGCTATTGGTGTCATACATTTTATTTCTATGTATATTGTAAACCCCAAATATGTTGCTATTTCTTTGTTTTAAAAATATCTTTAAAAAGATTAACAAGTAAGAAGAAAAGTCTTTTATTTTTACCCATATATTTACCATTTCTAGAACTCTTCATTCCTTTGTGTAGATCCAGATTTTCATCAGGCACCATTTTTCTTCCGTCGAAAAGACATTTCTTGTAATGCATATATGCTGGTGGTGAATTCTCTGTTTTTGCTGTCTGAAAAATCTTTATTTCACCTGAATTTCTGGAAGAGTTTTGCTGGGTGTATAGCACGAGGTTGACAGCTTATTTCTTCCATGCTTTAGGGGTGTCGTCCCAGTGTCTTCCGACCGGCCTTGTCTCTGATGAGGCTGTTGTCATTCTTGTTTCTCTGTGCAGTCTGTCTTTTCTCTCTGGCTACTTTTAAGATTTTCTCTGTCACTGGTTTTCAGCAATTTGACTATGATGTGGCTTCATGTTTTTCTTGGAGGTTTGGTTTTCATTTTCATCAGACTTAGAAAGTGTTTGGCTGTTGTTTCTTCACATACTTTCTCTGCACCCCTTCAGCCCCCTCCCTCATTTCCGGCACTCCAAGTACACACCTGCCAGACTGCAAGGTGTCTGTGCACAGGCCCCTGAGGAGGTGCTGTCCTTTTATCTTATTGTCTCTGGGCTGCATGTTGAATTGCTTCCACTTCTCTCTTCAAGGTCATTGATCTTTCCTTCTTTGGTGTCTTAACCTGCTGTTAACACCATCCAGTGTATTTTTAAAATTCAGATATTATAGTTTTCATCTCTAGAAGCTTCTTTTCTTATATCTCCTACTTCTCATTATGTCTTTTTCCCTCAACAGTCTTGAACACATGGTGTGTGTTCATGATGGACAACTGAACATTTGTACTTGCTGGTTCTGTCATCTCTGGCCCCTGTTTCTACTGGTCTATTTGACTCCTGGCTGTGGGTCATGTACTCTCAATCCTTTGTGCGCCTATAGTAACTTCTGGTTGGGTATCTTGGGGTTCTGGACTCTGTTATTATTCCTTTAAAGGTGGAGGATTTTACCCTGCCATAGAGTGAAATTACTTGGGCTCAGTTTGATCCTTTCGAACTTTCTTTTAAGATTTCTTGGGGCAGATCACGTTAGCCGTTAGCTTAGCATTTACTTATCCCCACTACTAAGGTGATAGCACTGGGGACTCTACTCAGCATTGGCCCTGGCTACGAAGAGCTCACTCCACTCCAGCTGGTGGGGAGGCGGGTCTGAGTTCCAGGAATTGTCTGACTCACCACTCCCAGTGGTTCTTCCCCACCCCAGTAGATTTCACCCAACCCACACTCAAGGGGTCCTCCTGCAGATCTCCAGAGCCGATCTCGTGCTCTCTCCCCTTCCCCGCTTCCCGGGAATCTCAGTAGCTCTGTCCTTGCTGGTATTATTCCCCCAGATTCCAGCCACTGAATTTGAATCTCTGTCTCCTTGACCCAGAGACTCAGAGGAACTGCTGGAGTCTGGATCCCTCCCCGGCCCCACCCCGGCATGGCAGCCTGGAAACGGCTCCGAGGCAGCCTTGGGGCAATTGTAGGGCTCACCCCATTTCATTCCCTTCTCTCAGGGATGACAGCCCTCTACTTTCTGTTGTCCAATGGCTGAAAACAGTTGTTTCATATATTTTGTCTGGTTTTCTCATTGTTGACAGTGAGAGGGAAGTTCCCAGGGCAGTTAATCCTTGTTGGCCACGAGCAGAAGGCTAGATACCCCTTTTTATAATCTCCAACGTTTGGCCAGCTTCCCGCTGTATGTGCAACGTGGCTAATGAGCTTGTACTGGGGTAGACAAGTCAGTCGTTTCCTATCGTTTGCTTTCGTTTGCATTATTCTTCGTACAAAACATGGTTTCTTTGCAAAGTCTTTTGAAATCACTTCTCTGTTTTCTGACGTGAGTTTAGTTAAATACGCTGATACTTAAATCGCAATCTAGGCAATCGTGTGACACATCACGGTGATTTCAGGCAACAGGTAAGGCTGCCAGCCTCTTGCCCTCTGCACCGTGAAGCCTCACCGTCGCCTCAGGACACAGCCCGCCCTGCGTGTGGCCATCCCACCAAAGACCAACGGAGGGCACAGCGTCCATCCGCGTCTTACTCATCGGTAGAACCTAATTTCCTTCTTAGGCTTTGAGACTCGAAGCAAATCCGATGAGTTTGTCTTGAGCGCCCCTCCACCGGGGAGATGCAAGCACCGCTGTTGTCGGCTCGGGGACCAAAGCCGTGGGAGGTAAGGCGACGTCAGGTGCGAAAGCCCCGAATTTACTGTGTGGGTCTTTTAACTGAACTACCGAGTCCTAACCGGCATTTAAAACAGTATGCAGTAGGACAGGAGCTAGCAGCCTCCATCACTTGTAGGAGAGATCAGCTTTCTTTCCGACGCCCACGGCTTGTTCCCTAGCAAGGCGAGGGGTCTGGGGTAGGAAGGAGGGACATTAAACAGCCAAGAATCTATCTCCTGAGTCGGGAGAGGGGCCTTGGGAGTGTGCTCATCCATACCTGCATTTTCCAGATGGAGACCAGGCCCAGAGAGGGGAACAGATTCGCTCAGCCTTACCCAGCATGTGGACAGCAGAGCTCAGACCAGACCTCCCCACCCCCGAGAGGGAAAGGGGGCAGCTGACTGCTCTCACTGGTGGGGGGCTTCAGGCACGTGGCCGTTACCTGTCTCGCAGCGAGGTCCCTCGAAGGGCTCTGAACAAAGGCAGGTGAAATTCCCCACCAGGTCGACACATGACCCTCCGTTCAGGCAGGGGTCAGAGCCGCACTCGTCCACATCTGGGGGCGGCAGAGGTGGGTGCTCGGCTGTGTGCCAGCCTTTGAGCACCTGGCACCCTGCGCCCCTGCTCCCACCCGAGGGCACACTCACCCGTCTCGCAGGCTGCACCCGTGTAGCCGGCTGCGCACACGCACACTGCAGAGCCGCCCTCCGCCTGGCACCAGCCGCCGTTCTCACACTCTTTGGCATCGCACGGAGACTGTGCTACAAGCACAAAGGGGTGGAAGGCCATTGGATCCCCAGCTGTGGTGGCCCCAGGGGCTCCCACTGAGCCCCATTGCTGACATCTCGGGCTGCAGCACGGGTGGATCTGGCCGTCTCTGGAGGGCATAGGGCCCTGGGGGACCAGGGCAGTCCCAACCCACCGGCACTGAAAGCTTGTCTGAATGGGGTTTATTTCAGCAGACCTGGGGAGGAGGGAGGGTGTGCCTGTGCCTGGCGGGGGACATGGGGGTGAATGGGACCCAGCTCCCACCCTCCTGGGCAGTGCCCCTGCTAAGATGACTGTGACAGAGCTGTCATCACAGGACAGGTCTCTGGGGCTGAGAGATTCCTCCCAGCTGGGCTGGGGGCACGGCCTGTGACGGAGCCCTGAGGGGGCGCAGGAGGGGCCTGAGTGGTCCGGGGCTGAGGGTCCAAGGTGGGCGAGGAGACACTTCTTGCTGCAAGGACAGCCCTGCAAAGGCCCTCGGCCCCCAGTCAGGTGGAAGTGAGCAGGTGGGACCCGCCTTTGTTGGAGCTCTGGCCTGCCCCTCACCCAGGATGCTGGCCTCACCTGGTGGCTGCTGGCAGCAGGTGGGGGGACACTGCCTTCCCCCAGCTATGTCGCCTGTCCTGCTGACAGCTCATTCCAAAAAGGACTCAATACAGGAACCAGACGGGATCCCCAGAGTGGGTGACCCACCCTGGAGTCAGGGTGGGGGGCAGTGGGAGGAAGGAGGCCTGAACCCTGGGAGGTGTGGCGGTGCTTTGGTGGCTGACGGCACACGGTGACCCCCGTCTCTGGGACCCTGACTCCACCAGAGAGCAGGGCTGGGCACGGGTGGGGGAGGGGAGACTCAGGCCGAGCGGTACCCACGTCCCTGCTGGACTCTGCCCAGCATCCCTGCTGTCATGGGCTCTGGGGGCCAAGGTGGGTCCTGAGACCAGAGAGCCTCATGGGGGACTGGGGGCTGGTACCCATGGGTGTTACCGTGGTGGCCATGAGGAGGCCAAGGCTCAGGGCTCCTGGCTCTGGCCCCAAGCCCTCCCAGGGTCCCACCCGGCCCAGACATGTGTATACACACCAGAGTTAAGGACTTTAAAACATTCCCTGTGGCCATAAGTCTCCATTAGAAATGGTTTTTCTAGATTGAGACATTGGTGCGGTGGTTACTTGTACACACTCGATTTAACTATGTGTTATATGTTTTTCTAAATAACAGTTACATATCAGTAAGCGTATGTAGGGGACAGTGTGTCTGGCTGAGCCGGATGGGGATCAAGGGTCATTGTGCTTTGATTTTAAGGGGCTCCGTTTGTTGGGCTCCCCTAGCGGCTTTCCACAGTGGCACGGGGGTGGGAGTGGGGCGTCCACCTTCCTTTACCAGGTGGGTGAAGGGCCCAGGGTGAGGGGGCCCCAAAGAGGTGCTGCATGAAGGGCAGGGAGTAGAGGTCTGATCAGAAAGCACTGCTTCCAAAGAGCCGCGCTCAGAAGCGGGGTGGCAGACGGGCGTGTGGGCTGCAGTTTGGAAGCAACAAGGGGGTCTTCAGAAAGACCCCAACCCACATCTAGGCCGTAAGACCCCCGGGATGGAGAGAAACAGCCTGCACTCCTGCCGGGAGCAGCTGGGGTTCAGGGTTTCAGGGGTGCAGGCCTACGGTGAGACGGGTCTGGAACCAGGCCCTGCCCTGTCCCAAGGCCTCACCCTTGGCTGTGTGCTGTGGTCAGCACTCCTGTCACGCCCACGGGGCGGGGCCTCTCCTCTGGAGTCTGGGCTCCGGCGCCCCCTGCCCCCGGGCCTCCCTGGGGCCGGGCCCCCTGCGGCACACTGACCTGATGCCCCCACCAGGCTAGCCGCCACTCCCTGGTCAGGCAGGACCATCCCCACGGCCCTGCAGCCCCTGGTTCCTCTCACCTGTCTCACAGGTGGGTCCCCCGAAGCCCGCCGGGCACTGGCAGATGAAGCTGTTGACGCCGTGCGTGCAGGTCCCGCCGTTCTGACACGGGTGGGAAGCACACTCGTTCACATCTGGAAAATGGGGCAGCCGGGGACTCAGTGGAGGCGCCGCTGGGGAGGACCTGCCGTGGCCTGGGGCGGCGCGGCTGCAGAGCCCGCCCACGTGCTCACTATCACGGAGCCGCTGTGTCTGGCTCCCCCGGCGCCTCCTGGACGCCACCCACACCACGGGCACAGAGGCCCCAGGCCTCGGGCTCTTGGGGCCGTTGGCTGTGCTGCTGGGTTCCTCCAGGTGGGCGGTCCCAGCAGAAACTCACCCAGGTGGCACCTCCTCCCCGTGAAGCCCGAGAGGCAGGAGCAGGTGTAGGAGGGGTTGCCCGTGACGCAGTCGTCAATGCACTTGCCGCCGTTGAGGCAGGGGCGCAGGGTCAGGCACACGGAGGCTGCGGACACAGGGAGGGCAGGGCCGTCAGCCTAGCCCGGGGGCCCTTCTCGGGGGAGGCGCTGCGAGGTCCGCTGCTGCTGGGTCTCCGTTATCTCGAGGACAGGCCTCCCGCAGGGCTCAGCTCATGGGGCCCACCCTCCGCAGAGACAAGGCCACCGAAACCTGCCATGAATGAGCACACCTGGGCAGGTGCGGGGGCATCCCAGGGTTTCAGACCTCCTGTTACTAGGAGGGCCTTGGGAAGAGCTGGCTGGTGTCCAGGAGGGAGGGAGAGAGGGGCACTCCCAGAAGGGCCCTCGGGCCCCGAGCACCACCAAGGCTGTGGGTGCCTTTGAGGACCGTCCCTGCCCCTACCGGTCCACTCACCGAGCCACACCGGCACTCAGGCCGCGTAGTCCGGCTGCCCTGCAGCGGGTGGCGGCTGACTGCCTGAGCCCGTGTCAGGACCAGCCCTCTCATAAGGTAGACTGCCAGGTGTGGGCGCCCCGCCTCTCAGGCGTGAACCCACTCTCCCTCCCCGGTGCCTCCAGACTGATGCGCACGGGCTCCATCTCCAGGGCTTGCGGCGTGGGGCGGGGACACGAGGGGGCCGGTCCCCCTGCAACCCCACGGGACTGTGCCCCTCAGGGCCTCTGTGCGCGAGAGCTTTGAGGGCCCAGCAGGGCCTCCTCCATATGCTCCCCGCAGAGGCCTGGGGCGGGGGAGAAGCACCGCCACATGGGAACGGCGTCCCCGAGGGACTGACTGGACCCTCCTCTGAGGACCCCAGTCCGCAGGCTCACAGCCGGCAGCCTCTGTGGGGAGCATGGACCTACCCATACCTGCATGCACACCTGCACGCACACCTGCACCCATACTCTACCCCTCAACCACAACCCAAGCCCCTGGCCGCTGGCAAGCGCCAGACCTCTGTGCTGCCCACGCAAAGGTGTGGTGACTGAGTAGCGTCCCCTGCCCCGAGCCACCGCGGCTCCGAGCCTGGGCGGGTGTTGCCACTCTGGGGGAGGGGGGCGAAATCAGTGGCCCCTGGGCTCCTGGCCCTGTGGGCCGCCCCCTCGTTCACACTGGTGAGTGGGTGGGCTCAGGCTCCCCGGGCCTCTCTCACCAGGGCCCATATCCAGTCCTCGGCGTGGTACACACCTGCCCTCCCCGCCTCCCCCCCCCCAGGGTGCACGCCTGCTCCCCTGGCAGGTCTGGGTGGGCTTCCTTGCACTGGGTTCATCCCTGGGACGGTGTTCAGGAGAAGCAGCCCCTCTTGGTCCCCATGGGGGTGGGAGGCGATCTCCGGGGGAGGTCCCAGCACAGGCCTCACTGGCTCCAGGCTTGGCCGGGGGAGTGGCGCGGCTGAACCCGTCACTTGACACCCTCCCCCCTCCGTTTATAAGCGGGGGTTTCAGGAGGGTCTGTGACCCAGAGCCACACAGCAGGAGAGCCGGGAGCACATCCTTCTGTGGCCAGTCCCGCTGTTTCCACAGGCCTCGCGCTCGCCCCCGGGGTGGACCCTGCTCCCGTCTGCTCTGTGCTGTGTGCCTGAAGGACCCCGGGCGTCAGGGAGCTCCCTCCTGTCAGGTAGATGTCCAGGTTGTCACACAAGCACCAAGTCCCACCAAGAAGCAAGGCAGCAAAATGGGTGGAAAGAGGGCCTGCCTCCCAGGTGGTCCTGAGGACGTGGGAGGCCACGCAGGGATGCCCAGGATTCCCTGGGTGGGGATGTGACCCCAGCTCCCCCCCTTTACACCCCTTCACACTTCAAACCGTGGTCTCCAGCAAACCCCTTCCCCTCAGCAGAGGCAGGAAGGCCTCCCAGGGGGAGACTGAGGCTCAGGGGTGAGCCCGGGGAAGAGGAGCCGAGGTGGGCGGGGCCGTGCGCCCCCAAGAGGCCCGGGGCTCCCCCTCCCCCCCCGCCATCCCGCCTCCCTAATCCATGCCCCTCCGCCACCCCAGCGACTCTCTCTGTCCTCTTACTTGTATGGCCGCAGCCCCCCACGCGCACCTGGGCATCATCGATTCTGAACGCCCAGCGCCCGGGCACGCCCACGTTGGTGGTGGTCTCCACCTCCACCACGTCCGCGGTGCGTGAGCCGGGGATGCTGAAGTAGCGCCGCCCATCACCCGCATTGAAGCCGGCCTGGGGGCGGGTGGGAGAGAGTGGGGGCAGGTGCGGGCTGGGTCCGCAGGTCTCCCTAACGCTCCTGAGACCCGCCTGCCGCGGGGGCGGCCTCGTGAGCTGCGGAGCGCTGAAGATTCAGGGTCATCTTCACCAGCCCGCCGTGCGGTCCCCGCCTCCCAGCCACGCCCCACCCTAACCAGCAGCTCCTCCAGCTGCTGACCTGGTTGGGCCCTGGCAGCCCTCCCCGCACCCCTTCCCGCCCACTCCTGGGCTCCTGGGCCTCCCCTAGGACCCAGGGCCAGTGTGACCTCAGGAGAAAGCAGAGAGCCTAGAGCGGGGGGAGGGGCACTCCCAGGCCCTGGGGGCTCGCACTTGACCACCCTCCGCACCTGGGATTTTCTGCTGGCCACTGTCCCTCAGGCCACAGTGCACACAGAACTCTGTCCCAGCTGCAGCTGGCCCTGTCGGGCCGGCCGTGTGGGTCGGGACAAAGGTGCTTTGGCCCGAGAGTGTTTCTGTGGTTCTGGGCCGGGAGAGGCCTCTGCACAGCATTGGGCGGGGAGGGGGGGGGGGTCCACCTGCCTCACCAGCTCGGGACAGTCCCAGCCGTGGGAAGCAGGGCCCCTACCTGGGCCGCGATGCCCCCCAGACCAGCGGCGTCGCCCCCGCTGCTGGCGTGCGTGCCTGTGGTCCACGTGATGGACTCGTAGTTGAAGATGGTGAAGGAGAGCTTGCCGTCGGTGATGAGCACGGTCTGGAACGTGTTGACCTGCCAAGGAGGGGCCTGAGCGAAGCCTGCGCCCCTGTCTCCACCCAAAGACCCCGCCCCGCCCACATTGCAGTCGCCCACTGGTCCCTCCTCTGTTTCCCCAGCGAGATGGTCAGCCACAGGGAGGCCCCGATGACCTCGACCTCCATCCTCCGCTGTGTCCCCAACGCCTGCCCCCCCCCCCCCCCAGTATTATCTGATGCCTGGAGAGCGAGTGAAGCCCACTGAGGGGCTGTGGAGGCCACGGACGCCAGGAGCAGACAGTTTCCCCTGTGGGTCTGGGGGCACAGAGGGTTCGTGACCACCTGGCCAAATCCACAAAATCATCTCATGTGAGATGAACAAAAAAGTAAAAGGAGAAAAAGGGGAAAGATAAAAAGGGGAAAGAAGGAAAGGCAGTTTTCAATCGCTAAGTCTTTCGGTTTTCATGGAGAATCCTCCGTGGGCAGTGTGTACATAAGAGGTGCTATTTCAGAATGGGCAAAGGGTGAGGTTGTTTAAGAAACGATCGTGGGACAAATAGGAAGCTCTGAAAAACAATTAAATCGGAGCTTTATCTCTCTTATGAAAATAAATCCCGAATCGAGTAAGGTTGTAAATGAGGCTGTCGTTGGCCTAGAGGAAAACATAGGCGACTATGTAGAACGTCTAGGGAAGGACTTTCAAGCCTGACATTTGTTAAAACTGCAGAAACCACAAAGGAGATTTATACATTTGACTACAAGAACTTCCGGATATAAAAAAGTGTCATGAGATCAAGCTGAATGGCAAAGAGTGAAGGGAAAAGTGTGTTTATAACACACACGGCAGAGAAACTGGTGATGTCTTTAATTCAAGTAGAACTTCCACGGATCAATAAGAAAAAGGACAGAAAGATGACAGACAAATTGGCAAAGGGTGTGAACAGAAACATCACGATAGAATACAACTGGCCAAGATTTCCCGTTACTAGAAATCAGAGATGCGTAAAGCTGAAAAAACCAGGGCCATTCCTTTCACGCCTGTGGAGCGGTGCATTTGGCCGGGGTGCAGGGCTACAGGCGCTTCTGAATGTGGCTTGTGCAACTATGAGTGGGCACAGTTTTGAGGGGAAATCAGACTTGCGCAGGCAGCAACCTCCCTTCTAGCAACTCATGCCGGGATGATTTCACAAACACTGGGGGCGATGCAGCGCCCTCGGGGCACCCCGTGATGGAGGCAGCAGGCCCACCGGAGTGCAAGTGCCACCGCGCCGGGCTGGCACGCAGGCATCGCACATGGGGGCGTCCCACGGTGAAAGATGACAGCAGGGGAACCGAGCAGTCTCCTGCAGGAAGGCAAGCTCAGGTGCCGGGACTCAGGACGAGGAGGGCGTGAGGGCTGGAAGGCCCGAGCAGTGGGAAGGTGTGAGGAGGGCCGGACCGCGGCTGGTCAGCAAGGCTAGCGGAGGGGCTTCGCGAGCTATGAGGCCCAGACGTTTGAGGAGGACGAGGACGTGCCCGAAGCTTAACCACCACTTTCTGTTGATTGACCTGCCCCTGCAGGTGCCCCCAGGGGAGGGCTTCCCCATCTCCCAGCTCCCAGCCTGGTTTCCACCCCAAACTCAGAATCCCGGTTCCCCGTCTCATAAGGTAATCATTTTGGAACTGACATCTCCGGGTTTGAAAAGAGGAGGACGTTAAGGTTTCCTCTGTCTGCTCAGGAGGGGCCCTGGGCGCCTCCTTCTTCCCAGACGGAGAGGTAATAGGTAAAATGACTCTGCAGAGGTGAAATTATAACATAAAAAATGACGTAGAAGAACATATAAGAATGAGGAAAGTGCCCACAATACTGTTGAGTGAAAGAAACACTCACAAAACAGCACGTTCCAGGTGGTTCTATTTATTTTTTAACGTGTGGGTTGATTCACAATGGGACATGTTGAACAGGAGTTATCTCCTGCTGGTGGGGCTGTAGATTCTTTTTCTCTACTTTTTGTTAAAAAGACATTTTTCTTACAAATTGGCGATAAGAAAAAACAAACAAAACATACAAAATGTTAGTGGGCTACGTGTGAACAAAAGTTCAGTTGAGAAATTTCTTTGTAGTAATGTTTACAGAAAAAGCCCATCTTTCCTGATTTGCTGTCATACTCCTGCTAAAACCCCCAGCAGTGACGGTTACTCTCACAAGGTACCTGACAAGCAGCTTGCTTCTTTTTGGCCTCTTGGGGGCTGCAGGGTTCATCACCACCTGCACGTCCCTCCCCGCCCCGTCCCCACCTGAGCCGCCGCGGCTGGGGACTCCGGGCTCTGCTCAGCATATCTAGGACCGAGCCCGTCTACCACCTGTCCCCACCCCTCCCACCCTGTGCCTGCGATGGGAGACCGGGCACCACCCTCGGGGCTTCTCTCTCCTCCTCAGCCCAGTGTGGTCACACCCACCCTAACTGCTGTGCTGAGCCCTCCATTCCCTCCAGCTCCAAACCTCCCCCATGTGGCCGAGCCAGGCCCCCAGGCTTGCACAGCATCAGGGAGAGCCCACGTCCTGCTGGCGTGGCGTCCCTGTTACGTGGTCGCTGGTGTCCCCCCTGTTAAGAGTGTGCCCCACGGGAGAGTCATGTCCTGTGCTCTCTGTCTGGGGCCGCCTCCCCAGAGCCCAGAACACTGCCTGCCCCAGACGTGCCCCTAAAGGAATGTGTATTAAATGTGTGGGCATACCGTCCTGAAAGGCCGCCCGCTCCCCAGTGCTTTTCTCTAGAGAGCCGCCCTCTGTCCCATGCGGTTGTGACCCAGCACCCATCGCGGGCCTGGCCGCAGGAGGTGCCGGTCACGCGTCTGCTGCTGGAAGCGCTATGCCGCCCTCACTGGGAATCCGCCCACCACACTGACCACGCTGGGTAAAGTGGTCAGTTATTCTGGACTTGGCGCTGTGGCCGTTTGGCGTCATCAAGGAATAATGTATTAAACGGAATAAACTTCCCATTTAACCCTTTGAGTACTGAACCGTTCCAAACGGAAACCTTCTAACACAGACCATCTGCGTCCCCCGAGTGAGTGAAGGACGGTGTTGGGGCACTTGGCGTTTCCCTGGACGCGGGTGGTTTCCAGGAGGCCCAGGCTCCATCCCCCCTCCAGCCTGGCCCTGTGACCTTGGACGAGTGGCTTCCGCCCCTGAGCCCAGCTGTCCCCTCTGGGCACGAAGCCCAGGGATTGCGTCTGGCCCACTCAGCAAGCAGGGGGCCCTGGAGGGAGACCCTGGGCCCCAGATGGATGTCCTCCCTTCCCCAGGACAGAACACTCACGGGGGAAGAGGAGCTGCCTCCGAAGAAGGTGACGCGGTACCAAGTGGCTATGAACACCCAGGTGGCGGAGAAGCCTGGGAGCTCGGGGAAGTAGCGCCTGACGTCATCTGTGGCCCTGCGCAGCGTGGCTGCGTCGGTGGCCTCCCGGTAGTACACGTCGCCTGCACGCCGGTTGTCCACGTCCGCCCAGAAGGCCGCCACCACGCAGCGGTCCTTGGCGATGGGGAAGGCCACTGGGGTGAACTGAGAAACCTCCTTCAGGAAGGAGACGATCCCGTTGTTGTTCACCTGTCGGGGCAGAAAGCCAGAGAGGGGCCAGATGGGGGCCTCCCCAGCCTCACCCCCTGGGCACCCTCTGAGGCTGAGCCAGCCTTGGGCAGGGTATTTTCAGGATGGCCTGACAGTTCCTGGTCCCTGATTTGGGATCCCCGGGCCTGCTCCAACCCCTCCTGGACAGGCCGTGGCTCAGGGCACAGGCTCTGACCTGTTTGCTGTACACGGTGCCCTGCACAGTGCCTGGCCTGGGGCTGCCAGCGTGGGGTGGGGATCTCCCAGTGTGGGCCCTGGCTTTGGGCGGTAGGGGGCTCAGACCTGCCCAGTGGCCCCAGCTCCTCGGTCCGACTCCCATCAGGGGCCGCAGGAGAGCAGGGCAGTCCCAGCCTCTGAGCCAGGTCTGGAAGGGTGAGGAGGAGGTGTGCTTGCCAAGCAGGGGTGGGGATGGGCTGGGACCACTGTGGACAGGGGAGGCCGGGAGGGCCTCGATGGCCAGGTGGGGCACCTGTGCTCAGGACTCCAGGTAGTGGAGCCCCAGAAGGCCCCTGAGCACAGGAGGTGGAGCGGCATCTTTGTGGTCAGACACAACTGGTTCTAGCGTTGACCCTGCCACTCTCCAGCTATGCAGCCACCAGGCCCGTTAGGCTTTGCCTCTCTGTGCTCTGGCTTTCCACCTGTAGGATGGAGCAAACACTCATTCTGGCCTCACGGGGTGCTGGGCAGGGCTGAGTGGACTAATGATCCCAGAGTCAGCTCTAGACCATCACGATTTATCCTGCGAAGACTGTGGTCAGCCCGTGCTGTTAGAAATGACCCTTCAGGTGAGGGCAGGCTCTGTAATCTACACCAAACAAAAAGGCGGATAAATACACCTCTCTTCTTCTTTTTTTATAAGATTATTTATTTAATTTTTGGCTGCACTGGGTCTTCGCTGCTGCGTGCGGGCTTTCTCTAGTTGCTGAGAGCAGGGGCTACTCTTCGTTGCGGTGCACGGGCTTCTCATTGCAGTTGCTCCTCTTGTTGCAGAGCACGAGCTCTAGGCATGCGGGCTTCAGTAGTTGTGACACATGGGCTTCAGTAGTTGTGGCACGCGGGCTCAGTAGTTATGGCTCGCGGGCTCTAGAGCGCAGGCTCAGTAGTTGTGGTGCAGGGGCTTAGTTGCTCTGCGGCATGTGGGATCTTCCCGGGCCAGGGCTCAAACCCGTGCCCCCTGCATTGGCAGGTGGATTCTTAACCACTGCGCCACCAGGGAAGCCCAACAGACCTCTCAAAGGCACCAAAGAGTGAACAAGGGAGCATATTTCAATTCCAAATCTTGGACAAGAAGAGACTGGAGGTGAGCCCAGTACTCAAAGCTCCTTTCCCCCTGAGTGAGTGCATCTGCAGATGTAGAAGCGACAGCTGTACGACAGACCTATACTTCTTGTAGCCTCATGGAGGGAAAGAGATAAATGCCAAAACTCGGGGCTGGCTCAACAGGAACCTGATAACCCCCACATTGAGCTGGGACCTCCAAGGCCTGCCTCATAATCAGGGTGAACCCAAAGTAAGTGGTCCTTATGCAGATGTACACTCCACCTTCCCTTCAGCAGGGCCATCCAGGCACTTTGAGCCTGGAACTTAGATTAAGGTGGTTCCTGACAGGGAGCACCCCTAGGTTCCAGGCAGGAGTAAAGAAAAACCCTCCCTGGAGCAAGATGTACCATCTTAGGCCTCAAGTTATTCCTGTAAACATTTGTTCAAATACAAATTCCAGGACACAGTCAAAGATAACCAGACACACAAGGAAGTGAGACACTGCTAACAGGAATAAGCAGAAATAAGAGAAACATCAGATATTGGAATGATCAGACACAGACTATAAAATAACTAAGTTTACTATGTTCAAAGAAATAAAATGCAAGCTTTAAAATTTCATCAAGAGAATACCCAAAATAATCTTGAAAAAGAAGAACAACATTGGAGGACTTATACTTTCTGATTTCATATCTTATCCCAAAGCTACAGTAATCAAAACAGTGTGGCACTGGCACAAAGACAGACAGATAGATCAATGGAATAGAACAGAGAGCCCAGAAAGAAACCCTTGCATATATGGTCAGATGATTTTTAAACAGGGTGCTAAGACCATTCAATGGAGAAAGGACAGTCTTTTCAACAAATGGTGTTGGAAAAACTGGATATCCACATGTGAAAGAATAAAGTCAGACCCTTACCTAACACCATTTACAAAAATTAACTGAAATGGATCAAGGGCCTAAATATAAGAGTTAAAAACATAAAACTCATAGGAAAACATAGGGCAAAATCTTCACAACACTGGCTTTGGCAATGACACCAAAGGCACAGGCAACGAAAGAAAATATAGACGAACTGGAGTTCATCCAAATGAAAACCTTTTGTGCATCAAAAGACACCTTCAGCAGAGTAAAAAGGTCATCCACACATGGGAGAAAATATTTGCAAATCATATGTTTAATAAGGGATTAATAGCCAGAATATATAGTAAACTCCTACAACTCAACAACAACAAAAAGCCAAACAACCTGATTAAAGAAATGGGAAAAGGCCTTGAATAAACGTTTTTCCAAAGAAGACATACAAATGACCAAGCCAATGAAAATATGCTCAATGCCACTAATCATTAGAAATGCAAATCAAAGCCACAGTGAGCCACCATGTTACACCCATTAGGATGGCTACTATTTTTTTTAAAAAGCCAGAAAATTACAAGCATTGGTGAGGATGTAGCAAAACTGGAACCCATGTGCACTGTTGGTGGGAATGTAAAATGGTGCAGCCACCATGGAAAACAGTAGGCAGGCAGTTTCTCAAAAAAAACTACAAATAGAATTACCACATGATCCAGTAATTCTACTTCTGGGTATATATCTGTACTAGTCTGATAGAGCTGCCATAACAAAACGCCACAGACTGAGTGGTTTAAACAACAGAAATATATTTACCCACAGTTCTGGAGGCTAGAAGTCCAATATCAAGGAGCCACTAGGGTTGCTTTCTAGTGAGGCCTCTCTTCCTGGTGTGTAGATGGCTGCCTTCTTGCTCTGTCCTCACAGGGCCTTTCCTCTGTGTGCACACGAGGAAGGAGAGAGCTTTCTGGAGTCTCTTCATCTTCTTATTGGATTAGGGTCCCACCCCTGTGACCTCATTTAACCTCAATTACCTCCTTAAAGATCCTATCTCCAAATACAATCACATCTGGGGTTAGGACTTCAGCATATAAATTTTGAGGGGACACAATTTAATCCACAACAATACCAAAAAGAATTAAATGCAGGGTCTTGAAAAGATATTTGTATACCCATGTTCATAGCAGCATTATTCACAACAGCTGAAAGGTGGAAATAACCAAAGTTCCATCAAGGCATGAATGAATAAGCAAAATATGATGTATGTATATAATGGAATATTATTTAAAAAGGAAGGGAATTCTGACACACGCTACAACATGGACGAACCTTGAAGACGTTATGCAAAGTGAAACAGCCAGTCACAAAAGGACACATGCTGTGTGATTTCACTTATATGAGGTACCTGGAGTAGTCAAAAATCATAAAGACAGAAAGTAGAATGGTGGTTGCCAAGGGGAAGGGGAATGGGTGAAGTATTGTTTAATGGATATAGACTTTCAGTTTTGCAAGATGAAAAGAGTTCTGGAGATGTATGGTGGTGATGGCTACACAACATGAATGTCCTTAATGACACTGAATTTACACGTAAACATGGTTAAGATGGTCAATTTTATATTATGTATATTTTCCACAATACAAAATTTTATTAAAAAATCATCAGGGGGGCTTCCCTGGTGGCGCAGTGGTTGAGAGTCCGCCTGCCGATGCAGGGGACATGGGTTCGTGCCCTGGTCCGGGAGGATCCCACATGCCGCGGAGCGGCTGGGCCCGTGAGCCATGGCCGCTGGGCCTGCGTGTCCGGAGCCTGTGCTCCACAATGGGAGAGGCCACAGCAGTGAGAGGCCTGCGTACCACACACACACACACAAAAAAAAAATCATCAGGATTGGAAATTATTTTTTAAAACCCATTTAACAGAACTAAGTAGAAATTCTAGCACTAAAACCAAATAACAGAAATTAAGAGAATTTCTGTTTAAAGTAGACATTTAAGAGCAGGTCTGATGGAACTAAAGAAAGAGTGAGTTAACTGGAACTAGAAGACAGCTCAGAAGGAAAGATCTACAATTTAGAACAGAGACAAAAAGGTGGAAAATGAAGAAAAGATCAGGAATATGGGAAGCAGTAAGATGGCCAAATGTATGATATGGAGCAACAGAAGGCAAAGAGATACAAATGCAATAGTTGGGAAATTTCCAGAACTGATGAAAGACATCAGATTGTATATTCAATAATCCCCGTGATTCTCTACCTGGAAAAAACAAAAACAAAGCTATAGAAAATAAATGCTGGAAATGCAGAAAGTCAATGACAAGGAGGCAATCTATCTTAAAAGGAGAAAACAGATAAATTACCATTAAAGGCATTACAGGTAAACTGACTGCTGACTTCTCATAAGCAACAATGGGAGCCAGAGAAACAGTGGAATTATATATTCAATATGCTGACAGATATATAAACTGCCAACATAAAAGTTTTATACTGAGATAGAATATCCATTACTGCTGAAGGCCAAATAGAGATAATCCATACAAACAAACAAACAATAAATAAATAAATACCAGACCCCTACTAAAAGAAATTCTAATGGGAATGGGACTGGTATGGTCTTATAGCTGACCCACACTAAAAGAAATTCAAGTAAAAGGAAATTTAAAGTCAGAGATGCAAAAAGGAGAAAAGGACGAAGAAGCTGTTATGAGGCCACCATCACCCTGATACCAAAACCAGACAAAGGTACTACATAAAAAGAAAATTACAGACCAACATCACTGATGAATACAGATGCAAAAATCCTCAACAAAATACTAGCAAACAGAATCCAACAATACATTAAAAGGATCATACACCATGATCAAGTGGG